TATATATAAACCATATAATATACACACTAGTGGGGGAACACACATTATATATAAGCCATATAATATACACACTAGTGGGGAACACACATTATATATAAACCATATAATATACACAGTAGTGGGGAACATACATTATATATAAACAATATAATATACACAGTAGTGGGGAAACATGCATTATATATAAACCGTATAATATACACAGTAGTGGGGGAACATACATTATATATAAACAATATAATATACACAGTAGTGGGGAAACATGCATTATATATAAACCGTATAATATACACAGTAGTGGGGTAAAGCAAACAGCATTACACACACTACAATGACAGAGTTTCTATGGCCAACTATTTAAGGGGCCAAGGCCCCTTTATGACCCCACCCCGTGGAGAGGCACAAATTAAAATTCGTTTATGCTGTGTTACCTATTATCTTTGTTTTGTTTTCTTGTTCCCACATTACATTATTTCCGACTCTGAGCTTGTCCAGATATTGCTAGTTTCCAAACTGTCTGCTTAGTCATAACCAACAAATAATGTTCATTTCTTATAACTGCTTCTGAAATTTAACGCGGAATTAATAAAATATTTAAATACGTTCGAACTTTCTGTGGTTACTCAGTCACGTATCACTACTTTTTTTGTTGTTGTCCATTACTAATAAGCCTAACCTTTGTATTTCCTGTTGACTAACTCACATTATGCGAACGACGAACAGAACTTTTTCCCTCAGACATACCGTATTATCTACCACAACTTATCTTATACTTACTAGCTTCTTGTGAGTGAATAATGTGAACCAGCAGTTAAAACTCGATTCCATTCACTTGCTTGAACACACTAACCCTGATCTATACCGTGATATTAGTCATACAGATTAGTCAAAACAGTAACGGTCCTGTTGCCGTACAGTGGTATTAATAACTGTTTAAGACTGGTACAAAACAGTAACGGTCCTGTTGCTGTACAGTGATATTAATAACTGTTTAAGACTGGTACAAAACAGTAACGGTCCTGTTGCTGTACAGTGATATTAATAACTGTTTAAGACTGGTACAAAACAGTAACGGTCCTGTTGCTGTACAGTGATATTAATAACTGTTTAAGACTGGTACAAAACAGTAACGGTCCTGTTGCTGTACAGTGATATTAATAACTGTTTAATACTGGTACAAAACAGTAACGGTCCTGTTGCTGTACAGTGATATTAATAACTGTTTAATACTGGTACAAAACAGTAACGGTCCTGTTGCTGTACAGTGATATT